ACATTCTAATTTATTGAGATGCACCTGTATATATATATATATATATATATAAATATCTAAAAACTATTAATTAAAAAAAATTCACAACAGTGCTTAATCTATGCTGTACAATTGCCCTTTATTTAATAGATATATATAACAGCATTCGAAAGTTTTGGGTTTGTAAGATTTTTTAAAATGTTTTTAAATGAAGTATGACCAAGGCTGTAAAAAAACTAATATTGTGAAATATTATTACATTTTAAAATATATATATATTTTTTAATATATACCAAAACGTAATTCCTGTGATGCAAAGATTAATTTTCAGCAGCCATTACTTCAGTCTTCAGTGCAATATGATCCTTCAGAAATCATTCTAATATGCTGATTTGGTCCTCAAGAAATAGTTCTAATCATTTTCAATGTTGGAAATAATGTAAAAATCTTCACTGTCACTTTTGAATTTAATTTAATGCACTCAATCAATAGATGAATGTCAATTTAATGCATCCTTGCTGAATAAAAGTAGTAATTCCTTTCAAAATAAGTCCCACCCTGAAGTTTAGTGTAATGGTAGTGTAATAAAAACATCTAAAACTGCTGTGCGGATACCAACTTATGTACCCTTTAAATTGCACTTTCTGTGTAAAACTGAAATTATAACAATGAGTAAAATTATTATAAAATTATAAACACATGAACGTTTGAAAAAGTTATATTTGAATTATTAATTCAAACGTCATTTGTTCATAAATCAATCTGCATTGGTTGGGCTGTATGTTGCTGCATGCAGCCTGTGAAGACACCTGAAAGAAAGTTTTTTTTTTTTCTATTATTTTGCTGTACATACACTTTCAGACTGTAAACTAGGGTAAACTATGAGTTAATTAAACTGCCTTCAAACAACACCCAAAGTCAAACAGCAATATTGCTGCCAGTTGCTGCCTATAAACCTTCCAGGATCTCACACGTGAACAATACCAGCTTCCACTACAGCATATGCTGCTTTTATCAGCTGATCTCATTTCACACTCAGCCTTCAAATCCATCACAGGGACAGGTAAGATTGCTGAGAAAACAAAGAGCTCAGGAATAATATTGCTTCCAAGGGTAACCCACAGTGTCCTGCTATTGTGGGAAAGGAAACACCTCTTATAATACTCAGGACATTCTTGAAAAAAGGAAAATGACTGCTTTCCTTCAAGGCTCAGTGGTCTTCTGTGGCATGCTTTTAGCGTTGTGTTAACAACTGAACTCTCTCACCCCACACTCAAAACACACAGCTGATGTCAGGACAATAACGTTGCATGAGCAATGACGTGAGTCTGCCAGACCAAACAAAAGATTTGACACATTCAATGTACTTTGGCCCAAATCAGAGTGAGCTAAGACATCATAACAACAGTCTGAGATCGTCTTGGAACCTATAGTTGTAAACAGCTGTTAATTTGCTATGCTATGGTAAATACTACCTTTCTCCTGAAAAAAAATTAATTTAAGATTTACTTTTCAGGACATCTACACTGAGTTTCTCAAAAAGGTGACGTCCTTTTATCCCTCTGTCTCATGCTAAATTAAAGAAAGCATCCACTATTGTCCATCATTATTATTACCTACGTTAACAGTTTTTAACTGATTCTGTTTGAGGGCCCAGACACTGAGTGACCAATACAGTTTTTTCTACCCTCACACAAAAGTAAACAAAAAGAAAATGTCTTAAAAATCAAAAATTCATAAAAATATAATATAAATAATACAAATAGGAAGATAATAATTTACTTGAAAAACATGTCTATACTCAATGCAAGTGAAATCATTTTTTAAATAGTCTGGATCATATTTTCTTGTACATTACATAATTTGGTTCATGGTTTTTAAGGATGACTCAAATAAAAAATATCGATACTAAGGTGATTTATTTAACAAAAATTAATGCGTACAATATGCACTGAATTGGACGAATAACCTATGTTATCGAATAATTGTGTAGGATAGAACTATTTTCCTGTTCGTCTGAACACATGCAAATGTTGCAAGACAGAACCAATCAATCACAGAGAGCGTTCACTCACTTCTGACAGTGCATTCAAACAGGGCTGCTTTTCTCAAAAGTATCATAAGAAAGCATTGATGCTTTTGGGAAATGCAGCCCAGAACAATGCTTATCAGAGGACAGAAAAAACATATATCTTTGAGTTATTTCACAATAAATAAACTGAAATTGTAGCCTACATAGTTTGTTACATTTATTTAAATTGTACGTTCATATTGATCATGTTCTGTTCTGTAATGTTAGTATAAATCATACACTGTCAGAATAAAAGGTTGCATTTTAATGCGAGCAGCCTGTCACTGGCAGTCCCTTATGAAAATGAACCATGGTTTTACTAAAGTGACTATAGTTCAACTATAGTATTTGTAGATTTCCATGGTTACAACTACAGTAAACATATTTTAACTATGTTTAAACAAAAATATAACCTAATAAGTTGCAATTAAGGTGTATTGAATGTTAAAATGTGTTTCAAATATAAAGTTAAGTGGATATCATTACCCATATTACTCTTAGTAATGTAATAATTGAATAAATGTAATAATTTAAAAGTTCAGTTTAGAAGTATCGTATCAGTATCAATATTCTTTTTTTTTTTTTAAGTATCGGTATCGTATCGGGAAAAAAAAACAGTGGTATCGCCCATCCCTAGTCAGAACTCAATTCTTTAGAACTCAGAACTCAAAATTTATATAATTGTGATGGGGAAAGTTATGAAAATGTGCTTTTCAATGGAAACATGCCCATGGTTTTCTTGAAATAGATATTTGGTTTTATTCAAAGCAAACATTATAACTGACCACTAACCAAGAGTGTTTGTGCCCATAAAATAACACTCATAAAGTTAAGGCGATAAATGTTATCTAAGTGCTAGAACAAGTGCCTAAGAGTCAATGATTTAAAGTGCAAATATGCTTTTCATATGCAGTATTGTGTAACAGTTACTTAAAAACAGTGCGAAAGGGTGCAATGAAAAGAAACCATATTAGTGGGTTATGGGATTTTCATACTGCTGTTGGCTGCCAAACAGCACTTCCCAGCTGTGAATTCCCAATATCAAAGAATGGGAGTTAGTGCTTTGTCTGGTGAGGCTTCATCACAAAACAAACAGCGGTTTAATATGTCGAAAAACACAGCTCATCTCTACATCTCCTGCTGGAGAAGGGAGCTGCCCATCAGCGCAGCTGTCAACAGCTGGGTGGGAGAATGATTTCATGGACTGTCCTCTGTTTCCCCTCTGGATATCAAAAGAAAGAGAGAAATAGCTTTTACTTTCAAAAAATTAGATGACTAGCACAAAAGATGCAATAACAACAAGATTAATACATATAATTCTGAATCTGTGTAAAATGTAAAGTGTGTTAAAAAAACTTCACTGAAATGTGTCAATAATGCTATCACTAGTATGAACACAATTGCTATTAAAAGACACCTATAGAGAAAGAAGCTTGGCACTTCTGAGGAGCTTGTTTCATAGCACAAATGACACAAATTATATACTATTTTAGTTACATTTAAAGGTTTAAAAGTCAGATAAACTAACTATACAGACCTGAATGACAATACTGTGCTGTCAAATGTGTCATTCAAGTGTCTCTAGCTTGTAGATTTCAAACTAAAAAAATATATTATATTAGCTGTGAAAATTACATCATCTTCCTGGTCTGACACTTTAAAATAACACATCCAGGTGGTTTCACCTTAGAGGATACATTAACTAGACTAGACAACTGACCAGATTCGACTATTGAAACACAGTTAAATAAAGTCACATTAAAATATTTTTGCATTACAAGGTTACATTAATGAGCTTTTAAAAGATGACAGAAAATTACCCATTAGAGATATGTTACTGCTTTTTATGGTATTGCTGCCTTGTTTCATTACTTTAGATGCAGCAGGTGACCAAGTCCATTAGTGTTCATCACTCTACAAAACATTTTAACCATTCACACCTTTACAAAATAATGTCTAAAGACACAGAGCACAGATTCTTAAAACACACAAGAATATATTAGTGGCAAGAAACTCTAAAATCTCTGACAACAGCTTGTGGGGCACAAAAGCACAGAACTTCACATGACTACAGAAAGAGATGCAGCAAGAATTCAGAAAAACAACCACGTGAACAGCACAGCACTTTATGAAATCTGCCTTTTTTATCATACCCACATGGCCGCAGCAGAGGCAAATCCCTTCCGCCCTCCCGTCACATCTCAGATAGATATACACTCTGAATCAGAGCAGCCACACATAAAGCAGTGATAAGATGCTTCCCGAGGATTTAGGTAAACAGTGTCAGTGCAGGAGTTCTCAGAATGTGTCCACGTGTCTTCCCACATCATTACACAAGTCAAAGCCTCCTAACCCCATTTTGCCAGCACGTAAACACAAGGCAAACATCACTCCTGACCTTTTCTTATACTTCACTGATTGCCGACCTGAAGCAAACAAGTCAATTCTTTCCATTTGAGCTCAACAACACTTCAAACTACAAGTTTCTTTGACCTCATTCTTTTTCAGATTTTTATACCAACTGCTGCTTATCTTTCTGATGAAGTTATCCTGGCTTAAGTGATACACTGTACAGGGGCAAAAAACACTAGAACTAAGAAAAAGAGCACGCACTCATCTCACATGGCTTCCTGTCAATGTCGTCCATCTTTTCCAGTGTAATCCGCGTTCACCTTTTCAGCCGCAGAGCCATAGGTGCAGAGGGAACCATGCAGGGTGGAAGCCAAACAGACACAGAGGAGTACAACACAAGAGTCAGTGCCGTAACTTCCCCTCCCTCCAGTTCAAATTTGGGGGCTGGATTTGGTGGGAGCCGAGCGTGTCTCAGTGAGCATGCTCTGAAATGAAAGGCACACTTTTATACACACATGACCAGTGATTTCCAGCCCCTGGGTCCCTCCTCCCCTCCACATCCTCCCTCCCTTCTGCCTCCGAGCTGATCAGAACCCAGGAATGCGGCTCAGACCAAAGTCTGGCCTCCATCAGAAGGAGAGGAGGGAAAGATCCCCCCACCCAATCAATAACACGTCCAGCTGCCCGAGGCAAACGCTGAAGTTTGCCGGCCACTTGCTTCACTTTATTGGAGGCAGGTGGCTAAATGGCAAGAGGTCTGTACCACAAATAGGAGGGTCCCGGTTTCCACTGAAACCACTGCTGGGAGAACGGCACCTAACTAACCCCCTGACCCTTCATCTGCCCCGGGGCATCACAAAATGACTGGCTTTCCCAAACAAAGTGGTTTTTCTACAAAGAATAGGAATGTGTGCGGTAAAAAGACACCTGAGCAAAAGTGTTTAACTGGTTAAGTAAGATGTGAAATACCTACTTGTGTTACTGCTCTTCTCAAGTTCTCACAAAACACAGGTGAACCCCCCCTTAGTGAACTCCCTGTCCTCTATTGAAACTCAAACAGGTCTTAAATTATTTCTTTATATACTACCATTCAAAAGTTTCAGGGTCAGGAAGATTTTTTATGTGTGTGAAAGATTTTGTTTGATCAAAAACACAACAAAGACGGTAATACTGTGAATTATTATTAAAGTCTAAAATAACTGTTTTCTATATTAATTAAATATATTTTAAAATGTCATTTATTCCTGTGATGGAAAAGCTTCATTTTCAGCACCCGTTACTTCAGATTTTAGTGTCACATGATCCTTCAGAAATCATTTTAATATGCTGATTTTGGTGCTCAGAAAAACATTTCCTATTATTATCAATGTTGAAAACAGGTGTGTTGCTAAATATTTTTGTCAAACTGTGATACATTTCATAAAAGGATTCTTTGGTAAATAGAAAGTTCAAGATTTATTTACAGCATTTATTTGAAATAGAAACCTTTTGTAACATTATGCATGGATTTACTGTGACTTTTGATCAATATTTAATGTATTTTCTAAATAAAAGCACCACAACCTTTCGAATGATAGATTAATACTAATTTACCTTTTATATGATTTAATACAAAATAATATAACATAATAAATTATATCATTTATTCTGCAATTTTTGTATAATGGCCACTAAACTGTATAATTGTCCCCTACACTGTGCTACTGTATTTTCACGTCTGCCTTGCAATCTGAAATCTCTCTTTTTTACATGATAAAGTATCATTTCAACTCTAATCAATATTTCAGGTCCCTGCATTTATTTATTCATTTGTTAAGTAGCCATGTAATAAGTGGTATAATGTCATCAACAAAAAATAATTCTACAGTATCCCTTAAGTAACCGTGCAGCTGAAAAGGACTGAAATTTAGTATGTTTACTATTGTGTAATTATTCTATGTTAAGTTATGCTAACTATGTTAAGTTATTATAAAAACACAAACCACCACAAACAAAACAACTACAACACAAAACATGAACCCTAATAGAAAAATAACTAAACTGAGCAATTCAAATTGTCAAAAAACTGATTATGGATAATTGCCATATTTAAAATATATTTCTAGTATAACACAGATTTACAGTATGAAGTTTCATATACATATCCACCCAATGGAAGAAAGAGACACACCCCCATGGTGTTTGTCAGTGTGTGCATGTCTGTTTTTACTCTTCTATCTGTGTCTGGCTGTCTGGATAACTCTGATAAGCGCCTTGTCTCGGTGTACATGCTGCTGTATTTGCCATTTCACTAATCAACCGGATGAGACTTTTTTGCTTGCCGAGTGTAGCAAAACAAACCACTGCTGTAGTCATACATACATGCATACTTATTACAGACCGCTCTATCTATCGCAGACAAAAAAAACATGCACGACCTATGGAATCATTGCTCATATTCTCCAGCCCACTCTCAAAAACACACGCTGAGCTGATAAGCCTGAAGAGCAAATAGACTCATTCTAGAAAACGTGATTTAGCTGGAACAAGCTTCTATGCAGAGAAAATTACAAAATAAATCCAAAAAACATTTTTTATTAATCAAAACAAAAATACAGGTTGATCATTTATCTTTTAAAATCAAAATGTTGTCTAAAAAAAACTAAGAAATTAATTATAAGATTTTTTAAATCAGGTAGTACATTTTATGTTATCCATTTCAGAAAAGGGAGTATGGTGTTTCTGCAATGTTCTGGCGATTCTCTCTCCTGCCCTAATTTCTCAGAGAATCTGTCTGCATTCAAACCAGGTTGTACAATGAGGACATTAGTCCTTTGAGACATTCTCTCAGCCTCCCTCTAGCTCTCTCCTCTTTCACACACTCTCACTTTCTCTTCCCCCACACACTTTTTTTCCCTGTCTTTCCCTGATTGCCACCCTACAATGAGAACCCTACCTCGTTCTCTACATTCCTCTTCCCTCTTAATACCTGTCCATCATACTATGTCCCTGTAGGCACCAAACAAATACCAAGTTAATGTCTTACCTCAAATAGTGTCTACTCATTTTTTAAAACATTGGAGTATCGTTACCTAGAACAGGGGTTTTCAGAATGGCCAAACAAACTGATCTGTGGGTAGAAAAAAATTAAAGTGTGTGTTGCAATGTACATAATTTCAAGTAAAGTTTCTCCTCACAACTTTAACCCTTTATTTTGCTCACTGGGATTTGTATTTCAATATTTTCTTTAAAGCTGCTTTGGATTTATTGTAAAAATTGCTATACAAATAAATCTGAATTGAATTAAAAATAATGATTTCTTTTAACTTTAGTACAAAGATAAATGCCAATTATTTAATTTTTAACCATCACATTGTCTTTATATTATCATATTTGCTGTTTCTCACACTGTATGAGTCTTAAAATACACAGCAACCTTTATAATTTAGAAAGAATCTGGAGGATTCCAGAAAGGGCATCTTAAATGGTTTATTCAGTTTAAGACAAGTTCATTATAAAACTGAATTAATTAGGTAATATGATTGAAACAATTTCAAAGGTGTTTACACAAAACCTCCAATGTTTTCCATAAACAAATTGCCCGATTAGTTTGGCGGGTGTGACTACAAAAGAGAAAATTAAATAGGGGAGGACTGCTCCAGATGATGGCAGATCAGTCCATAAGGTCAAAGGTTATGGGAAAAAAAAGGAGGTAAAAAGAGCACTCGTGCTGAGGTGAAGGTGGTTGTCTGACTGGGTAAGAACAAAACGGTGCAGGGAAGTGCAGAAGTGGGGGAGGAAGACTGTCATTACAGTGACCACAATAAAGGGTTTAAGCCTGTGACCCTTCAAGGCCAAAATAATGCCAATTAAGCTTTAAGAGACCCTACCGTGGATTCAGCCAGTGGCTCTTAGCCCTGGCCCTATTTGTCAGCTTTAATCACCACTTCAGTCAGACAAACAGCTCACATTGTCCGTACATAAAAACTACATCAAGAACAAAGGTGGTACATTTACTGCCTTTCTTGGGTCACGCCTTTCCATAACACAGCAGCATTGACAGGCAAGCCACTACACTGACCCTATGACTTTACGAAGTGAAAACAAATAAGAAGAATGTGGCTTAACTCTGCAATGCGTCCCATTGATGCTGAATAGCATGTGGTTATCTGTGTTTCATCTGCAAATAAAAAAGAAAGGACACATTTAAAACAGCTAAAAAATCTCAACAAACAATGCATAGACTATTTTAATTCATCATGGTAAATAAGTCAGACCCTAATCTCTCCCAGTTGTGTGCATTAATAAAGCTACTAACCTCATGCAAACAGCAGCAGCTACGGTGCAGGTCATTTGTTCTACAAGCAAATAAATTCTATTTATCACACTTTAAGTATTTGCATATTCTTTCTGCCACAAAAATATAATGAATCTAATGATGCTCATTTAAAATAATTAGAGACAGCAGATGGCAGTATTTGACCCCTTTGCTATGAAAACTTAAGATATTTTATATTATTTTTAATTATGCATGATAAAATATTTAGAATTACTTTAAAAATAAATTATCATGGTAAGTTATCTGTGCAAACCATAGACTGAAAAAAAAAACCTCTGAAAAGAAAATACTCTGAAACTGCACATTTTCATTACTGCTTTCTTCTTAATAGACTAGAAACACCTGCACAACCACACAATGGACCTTTTGTGTGCATGTTAAGAGTCTAAAAACTGGTCTTGAACTAAATGAGCTTAACAAGCAAAAAGTGGAAAATTCACAGGTCTTGTTGCTGCATGAAGCAATGGCGTGGCTACAGTACTTGCATTGCACCGTATGAAGCTCTATCGCCTCCTACAGGAAATAAATAGTTCCTGAGGACTTGATTTCAGTCAGCTATATTATTAGCCCTGTAGTATGCTGCAATTTGCAGCTCTTTTCATTCCCTATGATATTTAGACATTTTGAAAAGTTTTTTTGATATCTGAAATGAAAACAAAGAACACTTTTTAAAGCCTATATAATAGGCTCTAATATAATAGATGTGTGAATGAAACAGAAATACATTTTCCTTTTCTTGTCTTTAAAATTCAAGTTAATGTCCTTCTCCTTAAGAAAAATGTTTGTTTGTTTGTTGATATATTGTCTATCTATCTATCTATCTATCTATCTATCTATATGAGTGATTCTATAATTGCAGGTACATTTGGTGTCCGAAGTCATTATTTTTTCTCTGCTTTTTTCAAATGGTTATATTTTTTATTATTTTAATACTGTGTTACTCATTCTTATGAATTACAAGATGTTACAGTCCATAATATAATATTGTTTGCAAAAAGTGTCTTAAATAGCTGAAAATCATGATTTCTTGTTGTCTGAATTAGTCAGTGCAATTTTTCCATCATGTATCATCGTGTAATCAAAATATTTTTATTGTACTTTTTTTTGTAATATTTCTTTCATTTTATTTATAAAAGCCCTAAAGAGTCATTTACCTACTTCTACAACATTATTTAAAACAAAAAAAAAAAAAAACTTTTTTCTTATAAAAATTTGTGTCCATAAATCTTGCGTCAACTCTGCTACCGTACCATACTTTGCCTTTAAATTAGTGGAATTATCTCCCACAACTATGTAAGATACAGGAAATGATGTCACTTTCCCTCACTGTTAAGATCTGAAGCACTGAAAAGTCTATGTGCTCTCTCTAAGAAAATATTTTAATCTAAAAATTCTTACACCAAGAGTTATTTTATAAAGTGTCAAATCCGTTACCACAAAATCAAAAGGAAAACAGATTTTTTTCACTGATCACACTTTGTGTTATTTAAAAGTCTTTTAATCATGATTTCATTAGTGCCATGTGCTCTTAGCATTGGAGTTTTTGGCAATGTTCTGTGAAGACATACGTATTTTTTTATTTTAAAGGTATGCATAGGTGAAATATTATCTCAGTTTCAAGTGATGGAATGTAAGGACTGTCTAATGAATGAAACAAGAAGGATTTTTCCTGTTATGATTTATTGTTATTTCTACACATTGGCTAATTTGTCCATAACAGAGTCGACAAACAATACCATAAAGACATCTGTTTTTTTCATTAAAAGCAAAAAAAAGTAAGTAACTTGTGTTTGGCAAGCACTGAATTATTAAAATTCCCATATATATATATATATATATATATATATATATATATTCTTTTCTTTAACATAAAAAGAAAGAAAACTGGCAGACTTACCCGAAATGTCCTGGTTAGGATGGTTAGGACTGTATGATCTGTCCATAATTTGAAATAGAACTTCTCCTTGAAAGATTAGCAAACCTCTCTATTTCTACATTCAGTGACAAATAAACAAACAAACGCTACAAAACTCTGAATGAAAAGGGAACAAGTAAAGATAGCAATATCAAATATCAACACTGAAAAGAAAACGTTATCCCGGTGAGATGCTGTTGACTCATAAAGAGAGAGCCAGGGGCTCAGTGTCTTCACACACTCTGTATGTGTGTGTGCGCTCCTTTCACTCCACATATACGTGCCTTTGCCATCGGCATTACACTAATATATGTCTTGTCTTTAAGAGGGCACTTCCCTTTTTTCTCTCTTTTTGACTAGAACTGAAATCAATGGTCACGCAATTACAGAATGTGGATTTGTCAACTGACGTCTAGCTGCTAAAGTGCGTGTGGGGAGCACTATACAAACACCCAATACGAAGTTCAATAAGAGCAGTAACACTGCTGATTGCCGACTACGGTCCCATCAAAACCAGACAGCCAGTTCCAGGTGTTTTATTCTGTCGAGAGGCAATATTGCACATTGGCAAAGAACATCGATGTTCACTCAAACGTCTCACGGCGGCCTATTGACTCTCCACCAGGGAGCAGAGTCAACCGTTTGGAAGTTATAACTCCTTTCAAACTGTTTTAAGACAGGAACAAACGTTCGGAGCTGGAAAGTGCTGTCTCGAGAGGCTCCGTCACCGATAATTAGTGATCAATCATGAATTAGTTTAAAAGCTTGAAAAGAACACTGAGAGCATTATTAGATTGCAGAGATTCACTGCTCTCCAATAATGACTTGGATTTTTAGAGGAATGAAATCCTCCAATCATTTGTCAGTCTCCTCTATTGCCAATCAGGTCCATTAATCAGGATACGGTCCAACCGGCCCACGTCTAAGAGATCGCAGTGCCAAACAGAAAAGAAGGGGAAAAAAGGTTGCTTACAGCTTGTGTAATTAGAGGACATTAACACAGATGGAGTCAACTGCTTCAGGTTCATCACTAAAGTGATAAATATACTTTAAGTATTTATTATTGCTACGACTAAGACTTAAAATGCCACTAGACCTTGAAAAATTCATCAGAGTCATTTATGTTAATTCTGCCAACAAGATCTAAACTGTTAGGTATTTGCCAATATTGTCTACATATATCACATTTTAATTTTCCAAGCACACTTACCAAATGTACTTACAGAACAAAGAGGTTTAAAACTGTGGCTATTTGCACAACTGATCTAAGATATTTACCTGTCTGGTGCTGATGTTGAAACCTTTCCCTTAAGGATCTCTAACAGTAGCTGACCTGAACTGACCAGCTCTCTGTAATTGAACAAATGCATCAATGCTGCATTTGTTCAATCTAATTTCAGGATGCTACTACAGGGCATGTTTATCGAAGAGAACAAATATGTCTAATAGATCAGATTAGCCCACAAATCACAAAGCCATGAAAAGATACCCGAGGTTAAACCTGGACATTATTTTATAGATTTAATATTGCTGTCCTTAAGAAACCTAACCTTGTGTTTTACCCTGTGGCTTAAGGGCCTGATTCAGTCTGAAGCTAAAATTATATATATAAAAATGAATAAATAATAATAATAATTTAAAAAATGAAAAGTAGTTTAAAAGTAGTTTGTAGTTTATACCTCAGTTTCCGTTATTATGGCTTAAACTTAACATTAACAAGAAAAAACGCCTTCTATAATTGGATATTTGATAATTTACTGTTAATATAGGCCTACTCACATTTTTTGTAACTATCCACTACTGCTGACTGACTTCGACGAACTGACTGAAAATGGTGATGTACTTAATAAATGCGCGAAACAACTATTTGACTGAAATTATTTTTTCAATCTGCTGGTTTCGCGCCTTCACAGGTAGGCTATGTCACCTGTGAAGGCGCGAAACTTGCTGATAGCAGATGATGAAGGCGCAAGACGCTTGACTACAACGACATAATGGGCGCCCTCACACAAACCCGCTTTAACTTTTTTTTAATGGATCCTGTCCCAAACTGGTTGGAACGGGATTTAATCAAATGTGCAATTATTACCTTGATGAATGAATTAGGGGGTATTTCGCAGCTCTTTTTTTGATGATATATCACTGCTGTATTTTTTTTTTTTTTGGGCCACTGTCCATGCTAGAGACGAGTAGGCCTACTAAGCAAAGAAATCACTCAGCTATCATATGAGGCTCCAGTCAGTCAGCCGCTAAACTGAGGTGGTACACTACATCTGTCACTCGTTCGAATCATTTCCGCGAATTGGTTCTTTCAAACATTTTGTTCCAAAGAACCAGCTCATAAAAAGAAATCTTACACCATGACTCAATTGCGTCATCGTGTGACTCTAGACGTCATGGCGTGGAATATTTGCTAATAACTTATAATTCAATTTCATTCCAATAATTTCGTGTTTTAATTAGGCTTTAGTAATAATTATAATTAAATTGATAATTTTGTGACCATTCATCATTTATAAAAACAGTATTTTAGAACATAAATGCAGTTTGTAATTCCATTAAACAATGCGATGAATTCAATACAAATTATGCGTTCAAGCGATTCAACCACAGTCTATGGATTCAACTCATAAGAACCTCACGGATCTCTACAGGATATCATTCCTACAAGTTCTAATAAACAAGTCACTTACAATTTAAAACAAAAATGGCACCTGTTCAAAAGCAGATGCATATTGAGTGCACACTGAAAAACATACCGACTTTTCCAAGTATATATTATTAGTCGAAGAATTTGACAAACATAAGCAGTTGTCATTTTAAATGATGGAACATGCTTGAAATACAAATTTTTAATAGTAGGACAAGTGATATTAAATTATCTCTGATTGTAGATGAAACTCAATCAATAGTTTAAAAAAATATTTTTATGATGCTATGCTATTTTGAGATGCTATGGCATATGCCCAGACACTGGTCACACTACTTTAAAACGACAAATTATGAAGTGTGATATCTCCGTCTCCTCAGAAAGTTGTTGTCCAAACCAGTCACCATTTCGGTCTAGACCAAATCCTGCTCCATATTGAATATCAAATATACCGATTGTCTGTTTATTTTATTACTATATTATTTTAATAATTACACACTTCAGCTTTAAAGTAAAGATATTACAAATGCATTTGATATTCATTCAGCTATGCTAAAACAAATATTACACTTTTTATGCATTCAAGTTACATTTGCAAGAGAAATGATTAAGACATGAATGCCTCTAAGCTCTTTAACGTCTCATTGCAAAATTGTATGTATTTGCATGGCAGGAAGTGATCTTTAATCTTTACGATAAGTGCTGCATTATGCCACTGTGCATTTTGACCTGTTAAAAGTGACAGACAATGCCCTGAGAAAGCCTTTTTAAAGGCTCAGTAAACATTACCACAAATGTTCATTATTCAGTGCATCTCCTCTGTCCACCTGCAAGCAAAAACTCTGCCACATCCCTTATATTATTTGCATAACTTAAATCTGCATGTGACAGATTAGATCTGTTTAAAAATATTCTCGGTTGTGTGCTTCCAGTGCAGGTAACATTTCAGTCTCTTGTGGACAGACCCTGCAGATAAGGTCATTCTTGCTGTAGAGTCTCTCTCCAGCTGAAGCTGTGGTTGGGCCCGTGAGTTAAAGGAAGAATTGGTGGGTCCACTAGCTGCCAGAATCCTGAGTCCCCCTGCTCCTCACAGGCACACAGACCCAGGTATGGAATCTGGATGGAAAGATTGGCTCCCATAAAGCATCATGCTTAAAGTATAAAGATCAAATGTTTAAAGTAAAATGGATGAAACTAACCTTTCTGACTACTTGCACAAAATCTTTGGGATTCTGAGGAGAAAGGCCCTGGATCTGGCGAGTGCAGGCCTCCAAAGTGGAAGCATGTCCCACAAACAGAATATTTTTTCCTGATGTAAAAACAGGAGGGTATTAGTAAAGATCTGTGAGGGTCAAGTACTAAAAGCAGTATTTTTAATCACTCACCCTTATTTTTGCAGTATGCCAAAATGTCTTTGGTCACCTGGTGGCTGCGACTAATGTACGTGTCATACGCCTCCGAGACGGTTAGTTTGCTAATCGGAATGTGAGGTCTGTGGAAAGGCAACTGTCGATCAGGACAGAATTTGAAATGTAACTAGCTCCTACAGTGTATATGATTCCTCCAGTTGTTACCTGTATGTTGTGTCTACATTAAGGTTGGCCGCAGCAAGATCTGTGGGGGGTATCCAAGCAGGCAAAGATGTTCCTGTCACCCATTTAGTCCACTCAAAAAGCCCAGGCTCCACTCGAATGCTTATTCTGCCATCTTGCTTCATTCCTAGAAAATTTGCGCATGGCATTGGGGTCACAGAGCATTTTAATGTAAAGTAGACTAATAAAGTTTTAATGTCAATAAAGATGTAGCAAAACAGCAATTTCTGAAGCAGCATGGAACTTTCTGGAATATTCAAGTCTAATACAAGCTTTATTTCAGCATTCTCTAAAATCTACTGGTGTTAAATAATCTACTGGTGGATAGAAAAAAGTAAAAGTGTAACTTAAGCCATACTAAGTGTATATGACTTTCTTCTTTCAGACGAATACAATCTGAGTTATATAAAAAATGTCCTGACTCTTACTAGCTTTATAATGGCAGTGAATGGTGGTCGAGATTTTGAAGCAAAATATAGTGCATCCATCCATCATAAAAAGTACTCCACACGGCTCCAGGGGGTTACATTTACATTACATTTTAACATTTTATTATTACCAATGTTATTATGAAAACAGTTGTGCCGCTTAAAATTTTTGTGGAAACCATGATACATTTTTTCAGAAATCTTTGACAGTATTTTTTTGTAAAATTATACAGGTATTTAATTGATTTTCTTTTAATCATTTTAATGCATCCTTGCTGTATAAAAGTATTCTTTTCTTTCTTTTTTTTTAAATCATGCTGACTGAACAATTGTGTATTTATAATATTTTATACTTTTCACAATATACATTGGGTAGTTATAATCTATAAATAATTTATTAA